ATGAGTCAGAACAAAATCATATCTGTGACTCTGGATGATATGGTTTTCAAACTTTTAGGAAAAATATTTGCACAAAACAAAACGGTTGACATTTCATAAAATTCTAGTTTTTAGCGCCTCGCTGAAAACTGATAAATTCGCTTCGTACGCTGATTTGCCGGTCTTATTTAAAAGATAGAAATAAACCCCGATTTCATTGGGAAACCTTCACGGTTTACAATAATTCCACCAATCCTGAATTTCCGCGTACATTTTTGAATATATATTTGAACAGATGTAANTTAACAGAATCAGAATATTGCTAGTAATATTCCTGTATGAGCCAAAGCTCTTGCCGACATGCGCTCATAATGTTGATGATACGGGTAATAATAAACCATTGGTACAATGAAACTTAAAATACAAAACAGTTAGAACACACAAGGAACTCAGTGGAGTAAGTATTTAGCACAAAGATCATACGGACTATGGTGAATAAAGAATCAAAGCTATTTTTTAAACAGTTTCATCGCAAAATGTAAAACATACAACTTTGGGCGCTGTCAGTTAAGTTGAAGTCATCACGGGAAAAAAACGTGGTAAATGTGTGAAGTGGATTGTTTGTAATACAATACGTTTTTCTACTAACAAGGATTATACAGAAATACGCATTGTCAAATTTTGATGTCGAACGATTTTATCGAAATTGCTCTGATTTAGCTTGTTTCTATCTGTTGCAGAGAAAAAACCAGCAAAATATAATAGTTGCTGGTTAATCATGCAAAGCAAGATTTTCGACTTTTCAAATTGAATTATAGGGTGCATATTCAATTTTGACTCCTTTCCAGTGTTTCTAACAAAAAATAATATTTTTCAAAAACAAAAAAATTAACGCTGCTTTCCGGTGACGTTATCCGTCAACCCCGTATTTACAAAATAATGTTTGGCGATTATTGGGCCAAAGTATGCTGCAGCTCGAATAGCAACAAGGTGATTTATTAGAGACCACACATTCACCAATCACGATTCAGTGTTTTAAGATCGTATGATTGGCTGAATATCGGACCAATCGGGATATGTACGCACGTTGTGTGTCAACGCGGGGAGTGAAATGTTGGCTTGATTCGGTCGGTGTCTTCCTGTCCACATCTCACTGAGACATTCATCACCACGGCGGGCACAGCAATTGCTGAGTCATTCTAATCTCATAAATTTCATCGGATGGATCAAGTGATATTTTGATACCAAACGGTGAGTTGATTTCCAGCGTTGGGAATTTCTTACAGATTAGGAACACATTTTCACATTGAATTTTTATACATTCAGTTTGTGACTTTAAATTTATTACGGTTGTTTACAATCTTTCTCAGTGAGGGCATTGTTTGATCAGTATCAAAGTTTCATCTCAACGAGCATGAAACACTGAATGAAGTTACCAATATTCAAAGCAATTTATGGTGGAATCGACGTTAATAAGCACCACATATGTATGCAATGGAAGAGAATGCCTTCTGGTTGTCGGATTTTGATTTATGTTGAATGTTTTTTTTGGAGTGGTAAACTGCTTTTCCACCAATGGATGTAACCTTCTTAGTGCATGTTATGTTGTAATATGATTTTTCACGTTGAGCAGCATTTCAGTATCAAAATCCCGGAGTCACAATCGGCCTGAAATGTTTTTCACATCAAAGAAATTAATTTAGTTCAGCAACTGGTGAACTTACTTTTTACAGGTTTGCTTCATCCTGCCAGTGAACCTCTGGATTGAGAGTTGTCTAGTTAGTGTAAAACACTATCGTAATTGAATTCACCATTATTTCAGATTGACTATCTCGATGCAATAGCTGTCTTCCATCTGAGACACGTTTTGGTGCTAATTCAAAAGAGACCTGAATCCATGTCACAGCGAATTATATCTCTCATTTAGCGTTCGCCGGACTTACTTTGCTTTCTTACTTTTATTGAAATCAACATTATTCACGCAGTCCAGTTGCGAGCACAACGAAGGTGCAAGACCAATGGGAAAACATTTAGTTGAACGTACATCCTAATCAGCATTTCAAATAAAATGAGAGCATGTCCAACATCTTCTCTGATTATTATAAATGCGACAGTGTAAAAAGCCGTAATCAATGAAACATTTGGGATTTAAAGCATCACTCTGTCTCCACATCCGTTTTCCGTATATCACTAATCATCGAACAACATTACTGTTTATGCGTATTTAAATAACAGATTTATTGCATCCACCTACATGAAATAACTATACTTTGTTTCAAAAGCTTTTTTAGTTTCAAATACGAAAATGAATGAACTGGCATTTGAAAGAAAAATATTTATTGATTCCTAATTGACGTGGTGAGTGTGATTTTTTTGGCTAAATAACCCATGCAATGCTTGACCGGAATATGCCCACGAGGATCGATTTTCACGATAAAGCCAAATGAAGGATAATTAATCATGCGCCGAGTGCCTGAAACGTGCACACGGAAAATAATGAGCACAAAAATGCAAGTCTACTCGAACCAGATCAGATCATAACGAACAGGAAGTAAAGGGGCCGCTGGCTGGTGCGGTCATATGTTTCACTAATCAATTGCTCCCATTGGGAGGAAAATTTGCATTTAAACAGCACCTGCTCTCCAGGGAGAGTCAATCATCACAAAGCCGTTTTTGAAACTGGTTCTTATCGGTAAATCATCACTTGATAATTTTTGACAGGATTGATACTTTTATTAACAAGTCTAGACGGTATACGTGATCAAAAAATATTTTGTTTTACCACTACAGATAGACAAATATTCTTTAATGAAATTACTGAGCACGACGAAAGAGGTTGTATCCAATCAGACCAATATCATAAGGTGGATCCCTGCTAATAACTGGGCAAACCGTACCCGAACAACCCGAAAAGGTTACGCCAACATTCCTTGGCCGCTTAATTTGCCGTGTCCTTACACCCGAATCGTGAATGATCAATTATTCTGTCCTATGTGTCCATGTGTGCGCGTGTGCGTGCGGGGCATGGCTACTGTGCATGCCCGCACACACACACACACAAATAAATTGGAATGGAGACAGGCAAAAAATTATGCAAATTTAATTAGGTAACAGCAAGAGAGAGAGAGAGAGCAAAAGGACCGGATTTGGGAATGAATCACACTGACTGTTCGGAGTTGATGCGGTTCGCCATTTTTCTAAGTCGCCCCGTGCATGCTCACAAACAAGCACACACAAGTAGATTTCGTATTCAATGACCTGGTATGCAGATGGAAAATGAGGACAAGGCCCATATCGGATACCCAAATAGGCTGTGATGTCCAAAGTTTACATAAGCAATCTGTTAATCTATTCAATTAATCTATCGAGTAGTTCGGTGAAATATAAGGTACAAGTTCATCAATAGAAACTGTGGAGCATTCTGTCAAAGAGGTTTTCCTATGCGCTTCAATTTGTAAACACCTTTGTAGATAGAACCATGATTCGTTGCATAAAACATGGAAGGGTACCTCAACTGAAGCCATCCGAAGGAAATAAAGAATGTAGTACTGTGATTTATAACTCCAGCGGGGACACTGACCACAGAACGAAGAATGCCCTAAAAGATAGCGCATTTTAATCCACGGCTAAAAAAAGCTTATCACTGATTGGAGGTTGACTTCCAAGTCTTCCTATTCACTCACTGTGTGCAGACAAATATTGATATTGGCTTGCAAACAGCTATTTCAAATCTACCCACAACCTCGTGTGAACCCTTGATGCTTCTCAGTACTATGTATTACATGTAGGATGGCTGTTGTCTTCATGGAGAATTCCTTTGTATCATTGTTAAACACCAACTCACCTGCCGATAATGGCTGAATGATAAACGTCAGCGTAAGCACACAAAATGTTCATATTCATGATTGCATTGTGAACATGGTTCCTTAAGCCATTAATTGAAAAACCATAATTCAATCTTATAGTGAATACAAAGTGATCGGCAGTGAATCGCAAGTTTGTCCTAAACGTCACCTATGAGGACATTTTACAGTTTGAAAGGAACAGACAAGCAGAGAAGAGTGTTTGAACTTGTAATTGTCAGTCAATTTAGGGGTTTCAAGCCATACATTTATCAGAATCGGGGTGGGTGTAAAATTGTGGTTGAAAGTATGGAGAAAGAACATGACACTGAGTTTTAGGCAATGGTTGTAGATAAAACGTTTGTCGTTTAATTATACCTTTTTGCTATGCACAGCCGAGTATTACCATTGATTCCATGAAGAGACTAACAGATTTATTAGCACTCAAACATACTTCTTACAGAGAAGTAGAGATGAGTATGAAATGTGATCCATACTTACGTGTCGGTTGAAGGTGTTATACCCAGGTGAAAAGGCCAAATCACGGTGCCCCTGTGTGCGTACACCTCGGACTGGTTGCTATCCAAATGGTCACTAATCAACGATAGTGCATATTGTGAACTACAGTGAATTGTGGTATGATACATACTAAGTTAAAATACTGTTTAAATAACAGTAGTGAATCCCAATTGGAATTGTTTCCATACTATTTGAGTTGCCAGAAAGAAATATGATCAACACACATACATGCGATGACTGACTATGAATATGGAATCCTATCGATTAGTCAGTTTCTTATCTGCTACATATAGATGATTTGTGCCCTGGCGAATTCCTCGTAAATCACCCTGGCATTTACGAGTATTTCGACGGCTCTTTTTGCTTTAAATGCATTAGGTAAATTCGGAATCCTATATATATATATGAGTGGCTGAAGAACAAGCATGGTACCAGCACAACAACAATATTAACAATAACAATGATGGAAGGGGGTCGAGCATCAGAGTATAGGGAAAAAAACTTGACTGTTAGAATCGAAGAATACGGATAAATGGAATAACATTTTTCGTGTTTCTTTTGATATCTTGTGATATCCTTTGTATTATTTGTTGAATTGTACGGAAAATATTTTCACATTTTATATCACAGTTAACCGTAGCAAAGCGATCGTGGATATTCACGAGTAATCAAGTCATGAAAACAAGTAATTCCCTGAACTTACCGATTGGCTCACCTGGGATACTGCTCATTATATCTTACCCCAAAGTTTGATCCCTAATCAAAACCAATAACAAATTAAATTTCAAATCCTCATATTTTCGTAATAAAACTATAACTACCGGTTATGTCAGATATTATCTGTATGTGACAAACTTTGAAGCCAACAATATGGCAACCGTCTGTCTGAGAGAGAGAGCGCAAATGTAATCACCATGGTGACTGCGGTTTGTGCATCGGTGCAGCTTGTAGCACGAACAGTTAATGAAAGAGTACTCCATTGTCGTGATTACCATTTTCATTTATTTTCATTTTTCATAAATTCTGCCTGGTTACGGTTAAATGCAGCTTAATCGCAGAAGTTGATTCTGTCGTCGCCTAAGCATCTTTTATGTTCACAGTACAGTTTAACTACCTAATATTTTCCCATGGTCGTAAAAATGGACAGTATATGTGAACAGTTTTGGTTACATTTAGGCAGTTAATGTTTGGATTTGCCCATTCGGTTTTTCACAGGCACCAGGCACTGTTGATGATGATGTTCGGTATAGGTTTCAGTCGGTAATTCCCCACTATTTGAATGCATTTAAATGCGATATAAATGTTTATGATAACCGACAAAGAGCACTGGGTAGCTGTTTCGTTCTGTTTGGTGACTTGTCAGCAGTGCGTACATTTTGCGTCCCAGTCAGGACTCACTGAACATCGTCATTAACAGTACCTGGTGCCTGTGAAAAATCGAAGGGCTAATCAAAATATTGACCATCTAAATTGATTGAACCATTCGACCAAGGTAATAACCGTCAACCGTGTAGCTCAGACCAGAAGAAAAACATTCGACAGATCAATGCAATAAGATAAGCACAGCATCTGTGAATACAATCAGCTATGGTTCTGGTTTCCTGATTCGAGTTCACAGCAAAATTAGATCTCAATATATTCTTCAGATGAGTTCATTTGGATAATTTCTGTTACACTCCCGCCGTTGCTTTGTCTCTTTATGCAAAGTCAGGCAGATCATGACAGCTCTATTTTAACTTCCATAGGTGAAGGCATTACAAAATTAACTTTCATTATTTCTTGAGCTGCGTTTGAAAAACACGCCAAAACTCTCTTGATCTGTCGCTTTCTTTCCCCAAAATATGAGTTTTCACGTGTACACTGAGACCATAAATACTATAACGCACATTACCGCGCTCATATGATGCAAACACATTACGAGCAACTACAGTCAGTTAGTAGCACCAGACTTGGCCAGTTGCAGCAGTTGGAACAAAAGGCGAGTAGGAAACGGGAAGCTCCGCAATTTGATCAGTTAACTGAGTTGTCGATAGCGTGGAATCAAACACTGTGCGTCTTGTAACTCACCCCGATAACTCAGCCACATTTTGATGCTTTTGTTTTATTTACTCTTGCAAATTGGTGAACCAAATCTTAAAAGGTTTCATTACGTCTGAACATCACTTGAAAGTTTTATTTCAAAGGGGAAATTCGTCGTGTATATGCAAATTAAGCATGAATTGAAATGCGTGGAAGCACTGGACAGCTGTCTTTACCTGGATGGGTCTCATCAGCAGTGCCAATCCATCGACTCAACTGGGGATCGAACCCGGGACCTCGTGGGCAGACCGCAAGCATGCTACCTACTCAGCCACCGGGCAGCTGATCAGACCGATTTTCATTTTCCATTTACACGATATAGCACAACCCATCTTTGCGAGCTTGTTGCAGGCGATAGATCTCCCTCAGCTCAGCACTAGCCTCCGGAGTCATGACTCGATTGGATACTTTCACAAACTGACTACTTATTTCATGTGAGTATTTATGTGAAAAACAGAGGATTTGGTTCAAGTTTTACTTACGTCTGTTAATCTCAGGATCATCTAAAGATTTCTGGTTGAACATGTTTGGTCTTTTAAATTCATACATATAGGTAATCGCTCACTGATACGTGAATCGTTCTGCGGAAAACCCGGTCTGGCTCGACATCGGTTGGTCCTGCTCAAGCAAGACGACGCACGCAGTGGAAAGTCGGTTCTTCAACCGGTATTCAAAGCTAAACTTCACGCGGAACATTTAACCGGACGGGAAAGAAAATTCATTTTGCAAATCACAGGTATGTGACAACCTGGTTGGTGTTGAATTATACTGCAGCTGCCAGGCAAAATATCAGAACACTTTGTGCTTTAGCCAGCTCCCATTTTAGATTATTTAAAATGATTTAGAACGAGGTTTATAGTCCATTGAAATGTCCTATTTTGTTGAGGGTATGAGTTAAATTTAGAATTTGAGATAATTACTTTTGAAAGCAACCACACACTCATGGTTCTCATTGTTAACCTTCAGATAACTGATCGTGATATATATATATATATAATTTTAGAATTATTCGACATTCAAGACCAACACAAGGAAAGACACGTAATGTGAGATGATGATAGGGTTATGATAATCACCCAACGTCATACGTGCCATGAGTTCAACGCATTCAAACAAACTACCGATTAAAATCTTTCAAATTGTCCCAGATCCCCATTCTCATTCAACAAATTGAGAATACACATAATGTATACCAATCAAATATTGTTAATTTCATTTGATACACCTAAGAATGAAATACTATCAGGTCCGGAACGTATTGCTGTTGGGCAGGATTTACAATTAAACGTTATTCCCCGCTCTTCTCTGTTTGAAAGTGTTGAAGAATAAAGTCAAATAGTCGATTATTCGGCTGCAAAATCATGATAAAACGCAGACTGACTGAATTAGTGGTCGACAAACAAGTCCACGATGTTGAGAATAAGAATAATTTGAATATGCATTGATTCTTCTCCAGAAGCAAGGTCTATAATCCAATTCCAACCACCTACCTGATTTTCCAACAGAGATCGACAGAATTATTAAATCTTCCAAGTAGATCACAAATTTAATTGATCAGTCTTTCAACAAATCTTGACTTATTCTGCACAGATACACTTTCACCTCGCTGAGGTTTGGCTATTCTGAGTAACCGATTACTTCTAACCGAATCATTATACAACAAAGAAAAGAAAATCGATAAGCAAACAACGTTTTACAATTGACCGTAAACAAAAC